TTTTGAGACAAGAGTCTCCTGTCACCCAGCCTGGAATGCAGTGGCATGATCTCGGCTCACTGCAACCTCCTTCTCTTGGGTTCAGATTCTCCTGCCTCAGCCTCCCGAGTAGCTGAGATTACAGGCATGCACCACCAAGCCCAGCTAATTTTTTTTTTTTGTATTTTTAGTAGAGACGAGGTTTCACTGTGTTGGTCAGGATGGTCTTGAACTCCTGACCACAAATGATCTGCCCACCTCGGCCTCCCAAAATGCTGGGATTATAGGTGTGAGCCACCATGCCCAGCCACAAATATATCTTTATTATAATTTAGGAGATAAATTTTTTTGGCTGGTTAGTTTTATAGAATTAAACCTAATTAAATTTGCATTTTAAAGGAGAGAAAAATATATGTGAGAGAGATTTAAGGTTTTGAACAGTCATGCAGGCAAGAAATGGCAGTGGATTTGAACTTGGACTTATTCGAGTTTAGAGTTCAAGCTCTTAATTGGTATGATTTTGTCAATTCTTATGCACAAGAATGATATTTTTATAAATGGAAAGAGTGAGTGTCGAAGTGTCTTCACTTACCCAACAGAAAGGTTATATGTATTTAAGTGACATGGGTACTAAATCACCATAATGTGTTCAGCTTTGCATGTTTTTGCCTTTAAAATTAATTTCAATTTTAGTATACTACTAAATGTATTACTGTAATAATATATGTATACTTTAAAGATCTATTTCTGTAGTATATTCTAGTAGAAATTGTATATGAGCAAAAATGAATTTTAGAAATTATCCTATTATTCATGTAATTGAATTATGTCATTCATGTTGTTTAAAGGAAGCCACAATCCAGACAGGTTAAGTATCTAGTGTGAAGGTATGTAGCCAATTAATGGAGCTGGGCAACATACCTCTGAGTAATAAAGTCTACAGATAGGCCGGGCACGGTGGCTCACGCCTGTAATCCCAGCACTTTGGGAAGCCGAGGCAGGTGGATCATAAGGTCAAGAGATCGAGACCATCTTGGCCAACATGGTGAAACCTCTTCTCTACTAAAAATACAAAAATTAGCTGAGTGTGGTGGAGCGTGCCTGTAATCCAGCCACTCGGGAGGCTGAGGCAGGAGAATCACTTGAACCCGGGAGGTGGAAGTTGCAGTGAGCCGAGATCTCTACCACCTGGCGACAGAGAGACTACGTCTCAAAAAAAAAAAGAAAAAAAAGACTACAGATAAATTATCTTGTTAGGTACAATCTGATACAAAGTTTAGAAACATGTCAAACAATTCTATGTATGGTTAGTGAAAGTATAATAACATGCCTGGGGCTTAATACCAGATTAAGTTCAATAGTTGTTTCAGGGGGGAGGAAGTACTTTTAAAACGATGTCTGTAACATTTCATATTTAAAATCATCTTAATAATTGTAATTCGAGAATGGTGTCTAAATCTAATACTGTGTCTAGCTTTACTTGAATAAACGAAAATGTAGTAGGGAAGAGACAGTATGTTTAGCTTTTAATATTTAAGTATTACTGATGTGGGTATCTGGGAAAATCGCTCTACACAACCCAACTGTCACTGACCTACAGTGCTACTCCTGACATCTTCGGTAAAATCCAACAGGCTACAAAGAAACTGGAATGCCTTGAAATAGACCTTTTTCTATGATGTCAGATTCAATAGACCTCTAATCCTTAGTAAAACAGTACAAAACAGTGGAATAATTTTTAATGTTTTCTAATATCAACTGAAGTTTTATTTGGGAGATTAACCAGAGGTTTGCATAAAAATAAAATTGAAGACCATTACTCTTTTTTTTTTGAAACAGTCTCGCTCTGTCACCCAGGCTGGAGTGCAGTGGTGTTAAGTGGCACAATCTAGGCTCACTGCAACCTCCATCTCCCAGGTTCAAACAATTCTGCCTCACCCTCCCCAGTAGCTGGGACTACAGGCACGTGCCACCATGCCCTGCTAATTTTTTTGTTTTTTTTTAGTAGAGATGGAGTTTCGCCATGTTGACTAGGCTGGTCTTGAACTGATTTTATGATCCACCTCCCAAAGTGCCAGGATTACAAGCATGAGCCACCGTGTCAGCCAAGACCATTACTCTAAATAAACTAAGACTCTAGGTTTGGATCCCATTTGTGGAGCCCTACATTCCAAGTCATCTTATATTCTTGTCTAGTTAGCTTATAGAAGTCTACAACAGAGGAAAACCCTTTTTTTCTTAGTGTAAGTGTATTATGTGTTGATAGTTAAATGATCTTTCAATAAATGTAATTCTAAATGAAATTCAAAATTATTTTAATGGTGTTAAATTATTTCATTTTCTAAAGAGGTTTTATGCAAAACTAAATTGTAATGACTGAGCTGCCTCATTTTGTTAAGGGACTAGTGCAAGTAGAGTCTTGCTCTGTTGTTGCCAGGCTGGAATGCGGTGGCACAATCTCGTCTCACTGCAACTTCCGCCTCCGGGGTTCAAGCCGTGCTCGTGCCTCAGCCTCCTAAGTAGCTGGGATTACAGGCACACACCACCACATGGGGCTAATTTTTGAATTTTAATAGAGACAGGCTTTCACCATATTGGCCGGGCTGTTCTCAAACTCCTGACCTCAAGTGCTCCACCCACCTCAGCCTCCCAAAGTGCTGGGATTATAGAATGAGCTACTGCACTTGTCCTAGTGCAAGCCATTTAAACATTTTATCAATCCAACAGCTAAAGGAAGATTAATTCATTCCACAGCCTTTTATGAAATATGAGTGAGACTTGATTCCTGTCCAGGAGGAGCATCAGTAGCTAGCTCTACATTATTTGCTAATACTATTCCTACACTGTGCCGTCTTTGCTTAGTGACTTGTGAAGAAAAAGTGATAATATGTAAATGGTACACTTCATTGATGGCTTGGAGACATCGTATCTTTCTGTAATTTTCCCCAGTTAAGTGAGTAAAAGCAATAGGCCCAGCCCATAGCCACTATTCTGACTTCTTGATGTGTTCCTTGGAGGATCTTACTCGGCCTCAGATTGAGCTGAAGAAGATATTAGTTTACTGTTCTCTTGACTTAAACTTCATCTTGTTGGAGCAAACATTTTCTAAAATACCCCAAGAACTTTACCATGGGGCATAGTAACGTTTGAAAGTCATTTCACTTGCCATGTTAGTTACCTATTCCTTGGGTGAGAAAGATAATCTGTTCTTTTCAGATATTTTATAATGCATTCTTCAGTTGTTAATTAGCTATCTTTGTTTTCAGTTCATTCATTGATGGACTAAACATTCTTTCAGGACCTAGTTTGTATTAGGCACTGTGCTAGGTGGGTGACAATGCTGCAGAAAAGCGTAAGGGTGGAGTAGCTTTAAAGCAGCTTAGCATCTAATGTGGAAGACAGGCAGGTAGACCATTACAGCCAGACAGCAGTATGCCCCTTAATAGATTGCCACATTTAGTAAGAGTCAGCAAAGCCATCAAAGGAAATACGTCAATCACCCATGTTTGCCAAACGCTAATTTTTACCCTTCTGAGGAAAGCTGTGGACTCTTTCCTAAAAAAAAAAAAAAAAAAAAAAAAACAAAAAAAAAAAAAAAAAAAAAAAAAAAAAAAAAGACAACCAAAATTTTGCACATAATTTCAGGTATTTGCCTATTCCTTGAAATCCAAATATTTCAAGGTAAAAGTCTAAAGACATTTAATGTTTTCAGTCAAATTAACCCTCTGTAGCTTGCCACTTTTCCTATTCTAAAATTATGCTTTGCTGGTTAAGGTGAGTATTTTGTACTGTTAATATTCTGGAATCTCACCCCATCATTGTCTTTTGTGATCATACAGCCTAGTTATCACCTCGAGTGTAACTTTTTAATTCTTTGCTATCCTATGTGCCACAGTTGTAATTATCAATAATTAATATTCTGCTGTTTTAGGATAGTTGTTTTAAGTTTTGGAGTCATCTTTAAAAAGAATGCAGTTTGAGTTTATTAAATTATCTCCCACCAGTAGAAACATAGTTTTGCTTTTTTTTTTTTTTTTCTGAGACTTTCAGGATCCGATTTCACCTTTTACTCCTGAATATTCATTTATCACAAACATTATGGATATGGATTTGTGCATTTGAGACTGGTTATGAACGGTTGTTAACTTACAGTTCTTTAAACCTTTAACACGATAATTAAATACAGCGCGCGAACGCCTTCCGCGTAGAGAACAGTGGTGCTGAGCTGAGGAGCGCCGGAGGATTCAGGAGCAACCCCGGAAGGCTGGCAGGTGCCGCGGGGGCTGGGAGGGCCCTGGGCTAATGCCTTTCACTTCCCCACGCCTCAAAAGGTTCACACGCAGCTCCTCCTCATGATGTTCTGACCGGCTTGGTGTTTGTCATTTCACTTTATTAAGTAAAGAGGAAATGGAAAAGGAGGTATAGAGAGGGTTCCCGAGTTCATTCAAGGGCGGACCGAGAGATGCACCGGTCCGGAGCCGGGCCCGCGGAGGGGTCAGGCCGGCGCCCGAGGGGGGCGAACGCGGGCGCCAGACCGTGCGGTTTAAATCTCCCGCCTCCCGCAGCGGGAGCCTGACATCTCCACGCACGGATGCGAAGGGGCACGGGCTGCTGGAGCGGCCCGGAGGCGGCGCGGGGCTCGCGGGCGGCGGCCGGAACGGGTGCCGGGACGGACCCCCGCGCAGCCGAACGCGACCCGAGGCGGCGGAGGAGCGTCACCTCGCGGCTCCGGCGTCGCGGTAAGCATCTGTGGCCTCCCGCCTGCGCCTCTTCTCCCTCAGGCGACGGTCAGGCCCAGAGGCCAAATCCCGGGTTCCCATGGCGACGCCGGGAGGCTGGGGCGCGGAGGAAGGCGCCAGCCACGCGCGCGCGCGGCCTCTCAGGGCCTTGCTGGCTTCCTCGGTTCTTCGGTTCACTTTGGGACCCGGCCGCTGCCTGCGGCCTTCTCACGGGCGAAGCCCTGCTCGGGGTTCTTCTGGCCTCCATCCAGGCAAAACCAGCGAGGAGCTGTTTCTGGTGTGGCCGGGTCTCCTGCGGCCGAAGGGCACCTCCCGGCCACGCTCGCTGTTGTGAAGGAGCGCGTCGGCCTGGGGCTCGTTGGGGTGATTTTCCTCGGTGGTGGTGGTCGCTCCTAATAGGGGCGGCGGCCAATCACTCAAACAGCCCTCAGGTGCTTCCCTGCTGGCCTCCTTTTGAAGTGGTGTTTATTTTTATTTCGCTATTATTTTGTAATGGGAATGTCTTTCTTAGAAACTAATTGGCAACTGATGGATAAAAACAAAACATAGTAAATGTCCGTGGACTGCAGAATGCACAGCCCTGCGAGGGGCTCCGCGCACAGATCCTGCTCCCCAGGCCGGGAACCCGGCGCCACGGCACAGATCTGGCTCCTGGAGACGCAGGTCAGCTGGTCAGGTGCCCAGGTGATGTCAGTGGTCAGATACCTGATGCTCTAAGGAAGACGGAGAGGGGAAAGCAGGGAGATCATCCTGGCAACTCACTCGCGATGCTGGGGCTTTGCCAGTAGAGGGGGTGGAATCATTTTTCGTGTAATAGATGATCTTGATGCACACGGCATAAAAAGTGTTATAAACTGTGGGTCTCTGTAAAATAGATTGTTGGGAAGATAACATTCTTCCGTGGTTTTGATTTTTCCCAGAAGTATTTATGTATTGATTTATTTGATTCTGACTCAGGCGACGTAATGTAAGACGATATTACTTTAATCATCTTCACATCAGTATTTATTGAGTAGCCACAGGTGCCTTATCCTTTAATAGGAGTTAATGATACATTTATTGCCCAAGTAAACATCTCCGAATGATATGTATGTATTTTTATATGACCAAAATTTTAGCTCGTTTAATATTTATCTGTGCCTGTCATACCCAGTATCCTTTGAAATCTTAATTTATTTAATAGTGCAAAATTATTGTTTGTCTATCTAGTCATTGAAACAGCTCTGTGGAAGGCAGTGTTCTAATTACCAGTATAATTTTAGAGTTAAAAGGGTGCTCAGAGATCACCCAGTCCAAAGAGGAAAAATTGCAAATATGAGACTGGTGGAAAAAGTAGGATGCCATATTTTTATTATAAATGTTTATCATAAAAAACATTAAAATTTGTACCAGTTATGCAACTAGGACCAGATATCAAAGTACTAGATAGAAAATGGATAATGCACTGTTTTGTTCTATACTGCCAAACTTTGTGATTTCATTATGTGATCCCGTATTTACATTTTTTCTTTACTTTTTTACTTAGCTTTTTTAGTACTCACTGTACTTCCTTTAAAATTTTATTCTTTTTATATTCTTTAACAACAACAGATGGGATATGTGAAAAATTTTTAAATAGTCTGTAACTGGAAAGGTTTCCTTGTTCAAAGTAGATTTTGTTATTTAATATTGTCCTTATTACCCTGTTACATCTTGTCCTTTTCATTCATCCCTTAAGTTTCGTGTTTTTTTCTGAAATAAAAATTTTCAAACTTGTGTTTGGATCCAGTATTCACCATTAAAAGTCAGTCACTTTCTATGTATCTCATTATTATTTTGCCATTGTTGACTTGTTTGCGTATAACACTAGTGTTTTTTGATTTCTCTGTTAATTTAGTTGAGATAGATAAAAAATACAGACTACAGTAACACAATATCTATATTTACAGTGGCTGACATTGACAACTGTTAACACTTTGTATTTCTTTTTAGCATTTTTTTCCTTTTGTTTTTTCTTATTGCATTTTAGGTTTTGGGGTACATGTGAAGAACATGTAAGATTGTTGCATAGGTCCACACGGCAGTGGTGTTTGCTGGCTTCCTCCCCATCACCTATATCTGGCATTTCTCCCCATGTGACCCCTCCCCAAGTCCTCACCCCCTGCTGTCCCTCCCCCATTTCCCTCCCACAGACCCCAGTGTGTGATGCTCCCCTCCCTATGTCCATGTGTTCTCATTATACAACACCTGCCTATGAGTGAGAACATGTGGTGTTTGATTTTTTGTTCTTGTGTCAGTTTGCTGAAAATGATGGTTTCCAGGTTCATCGTGTCCTTTGTTTTTTATGGCTGCATAGTATTCTATGGTGTATATGTGCCACATTTTCCCTGACCGGTCTGTCATCAGTGGGCATTTGGGTTGGTTCCAAGTCTTTGCTATTGTAAACACTGCTGCAATGAACATTCGTGTGCATGTATCCTTATAACAGAAAAATTTATAATCCTTTGGATATATACCCAGTAATGGGATTGCTGGGTCAAATGGAATTTCTGTTTCTAGGTCCTTGAGGAATCGCCACACTGTCTTCCACAATGGTTGAACTAATTTACACTCCCACCAACAGTGTAAAAGTGTTCCTATTTCTCCATATCCTCTCCAGCATCTGTTGT